GCAGATGTTGGTTGACCTTGGACTTGAAAAGTTTAAGGTTGTACCCCTGTGGGACCCCTGTACACCATACTGATGTTATTTCTTCTTCATGTGTCTCATTTCAAAAGTGTCTTGAAGAGAAACTTGTCTTGGCAAGCTAAACTGTCCTAGATTAGGCTTCCATGTACACTGCACGGCTGCCGGGAAAAGACTTCAAGTCTGGTAGTGTATGCTATCGAATTTGTAAACAATGTCAGATTGCCTTATATGCTCTATGCAAAAAAGGGGGTAAGCTACATTTGTGATACTACATGTAGTTCTAGTAGTTTATATGACTTACTGCCAGCCCTGTACGTAGCGATGGCCGGAAGCCTGGGGTGAAGGCAGGGCTCTCCACCTTGATGTTTTGGGTGATCTGTCCTGCCACACGGGCATTGTTATGCGCAAGGTATTCCCTTGGCAGGTGCATGATGGCCTCCTTCAGTTCTGGAAGGCCACAGCCTTCACACCGGACATATGACTGCTGTATCTTCAGGAGCAGTATTTCTGCCAGTTGCTAAGTAGATAAAAATGGTGAGTTAGAAAAAAGGCATCTTACAGGAAAGGTGAATCAATCTCTTAGCTTAGAAATGTTAGTTATTCATTCATAGAGTATCATTTTCATTGTATTCATCACATTATCATTGTTGCCATACATTGTCCCACAATAAAGTCCATTCATTAATTCACAAATGATCTGAAGGGTACATCAATATAGAGATAGGTCATTTGTTCATTACATTCACCACGGAGGTTACGTTTTCAGTTTTATTTTCGTATTCTCTGCGTGTTTTGGGAAAGCATGATGAATCAAGAAGTTGTGCACGCATAATATGGCATGATGACAGGTGCTAAGAATGTTAAAGTCATGATCAAGTCAATAATGGACATCCTGGCAAATCTCCATAGCATCACAGGATCAGGAGTGCTTCTAGTTTTGTTATCTCATTCCCACAACAGGGTTTGGAATTTAGGTCCCCAAATTTAGGTCCCCAAGCAGCTTATGTACCACGGTGGCTGATTTTCTTCTGGGTTTCTGACTAATTAAACAACAAGAAGTCTTTATGCATAATAAATTACAGAAGCTTACTTCCACTTCCATCGGGGCGAACGTTACAATGTGGTGAAACCTGCTCCTGAACCCCGGGTTTAAGGCGAACACCTCCTTCTCGATGTGGTCTTGGTATCCAGCCAGGATGATGATTGGTGTGTTCTCTCGGGCTGTCAAAGAAAAGGAAATTTCACAAGGATCTGGTTACCATTTTTTAAAATTGTTTCTGGGTTTTCTTAAAGAGTAGTAGCATCTAACATACTAATAATACCACTCCTAACAATGGCATAACATCACTAAGAATACCACTCCAAACCTCACACAGCAAACCTGTCATAACTTCCACAAGCTAGCTTTTGAATTAAACAGCCTGATATACATGCATGTGAAGATCTTGACTATTACTGTAACATCTTCGCAAAAAATACACTATGACCTGTTCTACTTTCGACAAGCACACACTGCTGTTAGCAGATGATGCTGTGACAACTTGTTCATGTAGGATGGACTTCCATGTGACAAGGTTCATGTAGGATGAAATATATTTACATGTGTGTTTTTCACTTATCCGCAATATCAAGACCAGGAAAGATATTTCAAAATAATTCTTACGCTCATATGCACGATTCATGATAGCCTCCAGGGCTTTTTTGGCGTCGTTTCCACCAGACCCCAGCTGGTAGATTTCATCTACTAGTAGAACCCTCCCAGCTGCGTCATCAAGGATTTTCTTCATCGCCTGCTCCATTTCATTTACATACTCTGTGATGACATACATATAGATACCAATGTGTCAGATATGATATGATTTGATGCCATGCTGAGATGGTTTCATTGGACAAAGGGAATAATGTTGAGCAGATACAGTAATTTGTAGACCAATAGAAATTGTCTCAGTCACCATAAGGACCCGGTAAAGCCCCTAGGCCTGTCACACATTCACAAACTTCCCACGATTTTCCGGTCTAAGACTTAAACGTTGTTTTTACCACACTGTAAATGCTCTCTCACACCAGGTAAGAAACTTCTCCGACTGACAGACCAATATCGCTCTTCCACTCAGAGAGCAAAATTCTCTTCCACTTAGAGAACGTGGTGGTGGTAGGGGCTCGAAGTGGAAGAGAACTTTTTCTGTATGTGGGAGAGAACTTTTGTTGTATGTGTGGGAGAGAATTCCTCCTGAATGTCAGAGAGTATTTTGTATTTTACACACACTTTCAAGTTATGTGTGACTACAGTAAGTGAAGTATACGACTTTAAACAACTTAGTGTATGAGTATATATTTTCCGGTCTAAGACTTAACCCTCAACAGTACACCTTCCCGGACTGATTTATCTGTACACCTGGGGTCCGCGCGGACCCCAGAACAGTTTTTTGCTAATTTTTAGAAATTATCAACGTTCTACCAGCTCAATTGTTTTGCAAACTGATGTGGGAACCTCTGTGTCCACATTACATTTCTATTTTTTGGTGAAGAAAAGAAGACAAGAAGAAATACCCGATTTTTAAACCCATTTTACACTGAAGGGGCTTTTGAGGCCCAACTTTGATCTCAGATAGCGGCTAAACGGCTTGCGCTAGAAGTATCAAATTTGGAGACATTTCCTAAAATGTCTCTGGAAAAAAGATCATGTTAGTTTAATACTAGTAAGTTGATGTTTTTTTGTGTTGCCATGGCAACGGGTTTCTAGGAGGCTAGTTTTTTTTTAAAATAGAAGTAATTTTGGTTTAAACATAAAAATTTTCTGAGTTTTGTATTAAATTACACTTCTTTTCCAACATTAATAACATCTTACATAATTAAATATAAGTTAAATCATTTGATATGCATAGAATATGCTAATTTGATGACGTCATTGGTCAAAATCCAATATGGCGGACTATATTATTAGCTCTGACGTCATATGATGTCATAATTACACCAAAGTTATTAAAATTTAATTCTATTACTACACCATTCTCTGAAAACTTGGTAGACATACGATGAGTGCATAAAAACATGTAAAAACGGAAATAAGGTAATGTATAAGAACGCCAGTGTATCCATTATGATCGAAAGCCGGCTGGGGTCCGCGCGGACCCCAAAAGAAAATCAAATATAATTTTTTCAATAAATGGTAGAAACGGAGTTTTCTGCACTGTATTGAGAGACAACTTTGTGGGTGACAATTACCTAAAATTTCAGAAAAAAATCTTTAAAAACAAAAAAGATATTACAGAATATATAGTGCTGGGGTCCGCGCGGACCCCAGGTGTACTGTTTAGGGTTAAACGTTCTTTTTACCACACTGTAAATGCCCTGTCACACCAAGGAAGAAAGTTCTCCGACTGACAGACCACTATCGCTCTTCCACTCAGAGAGCAAAATTCTCTTCCACTTAGAGAACGTGGTGGTGGTAGAGGCTGGAAGTGGAAGAGAACTTTTCGCTGTATGTGGGAGAGAATTCCTCTTGAATGTCGGAGAGTATTTTTGTACTTTACACACACTGTCAAGTTATGTGTGACTACAGTAGGTGAAGTATACGCCTTTAAACAATTTAGTGTACGAGTATATATTCTACGGTCTAAGACATAAAAGTCCTGTTTTCATTATACACCAAGAAATTAAGTTCTCCGACTCACAGACAAGTATCGCTCTGTCACCCAGAGGACAAAACACTCTCCCACTTAGAGAATGGGTCGATAACGCCCCGAAGTGGAAGAGAACTTTTTGCTGTATGTGGGAGAGAACTTTTCGCCCTAAATGTGAGAATTTTTTTTCCAATGTCGAAGAGACGATCACTCTCTCACTCACAAGAGAAAAGCGGAAGGTGTCGCTGATAGTGGCTGGAAGTGGGAGAGAATTTCGAGTTTTGTACGTATGTGGAGGAGATTTTTTACATGTATGTCGGAGAGAATGACTGTCTGTAATAGACAACCTTTCTATCCTGCATGCAAAGTGTGCCTGCATGTCAAACAACTTTCTCTCACTGGCAGTCACTCTTGCCAAGTCAAATTTCGCTCGTAGGAACACTGGGAGAGTCAAGGAAATCTTGTGCTCTGTCTGTTTAATATACACAGACTGTACAGGGAATTTTCTTTGAGTGTCAGAGATAAACATCTCAGTTAAAGACAATCTATAAGTGTCTCTCTCTCTTTATATATGTAATATTATATACATACATATATCTATCGACGTACTATGGAATTAGAAATTGCAGCGGCCGCGGTGGTACGCTAGCTGGTCTCAGATATTAACGTAACGCACATAACTAGGGCCTGCAGCGATACAGCGGAGAATATTGTTTTTTCCTCAGCATAGACCACACTGTACGGTAATGATGATCCCGTTATTGTATGAGAATGACTTTCAACACTTGTGTCGAGAGATGTAGAGAAAAACCTGTGTGTTCGACCCTTGTCAATACTTAAAGTGGAAGAGAAAACAACTGTGTCTGAGAGACCCTTTCCAACACTTGTGTGGGAGACCCTATTCAACACTTGTGTGGGAGAGACAGAAAGCTGTGTGTGTGGGAGAGAGAAAACTGCTGTATGTGAGAGACCGTTTTCCCTCACTTGTGTGGGAGAGAGAAAGAGTTTGAGTGAGACCCTAATCCTTACTTAAGTGGGAGAGAATAATTGTTCTCTATATGTGTATAATTTTGCAACACTTGGCCCTCGATAGTCAACTTGGCCATTTCTCCACTCACTTGATAGAAGAATGTTGCTGCCTGTTCTCTTCCTTATCGCTTTGGCAGCTTCTACGGTTCTATGGTTTTCTCTGTTATGGTCATCACATAACTCTCTTCCTCTACAACATGGACCCTCTTCTTCTGTGGTTTTGCACTTCTTCTGCAAACCTTGGCGAAGTGGTTCTTCCCATGGCATGACAAGCACTCTGCTCCGTTGACGGGGCATGCTTCTTTTTTAGGTGCGTGCTTCTTCCCACAGTTATTTACAGTTGTTGCTCATTGGCTTCTCAGCTGTCATCTGTGTCGTCTTCTTTATCACGGCATGCACTGATACCGGTTCCATTGTTTGCAAGCTTCGCTGGGAGATTTCTGCTGCTCTGCACGTCTCTTCGCAGTTTGCAAGGGTCAGGTCTTTTATACGCAACAGTCTCTCCCTCACCTTGCCATCGGTGATGCCACAGAGAATTCTATCCCGAATCAGGGAATCTCTTATCTCTCCAAACCCACAATCTGTAGCCAAGTGCCTCAGCTCTGTGAGGTATTCATCAAACGTCTCACCTGCTTTCTGCGCTCTGGTGAAGAACTTATACCGTTCCACCGTTTGATTCTTCTTTGGACTACAGTAGGTGTCAAATGCATCTATCAAATCTTTGAGGGTTCTCTCTGCCTCTTCTTTCTCAAATGTCAGTGTTTCATACACTTCTCTACTTTCCTGACCAATGACGTACAGAAACATCTTCTTTCTCTTTTTCTGGTTATCTGCCTTGACTGTAAGGTCTAGGTATAGTTCTATCTCTTCCTTCCATCTGTGCCATGTAGAAGCCAAGTTCTTTGCTGTTAGATCTTGGAGACCTGGCGGTTTCAGGCCTGGTGAGCTGGCAGCCGCCATTGTTTACAAGCTGTCAAGCTGTCAGACTGACTGCTAAGTGGCCTTCTACTTAGTATCCTGAGCTTCTTGACAGTTCTGGGACAGGCCTAGGTTGCAGACTCCTCGGGGAGGACTGGCTAGACTAAGGAATGTGGTAGGAGCTCGCTACTCACAGTTCGATCTTCTTAGACTGACTTACTTGTTGCGCATGCGTGTTAGTCTATATGTTAATGCTCTTAACTGTTATCACATATTACAGACGGGACGTTCCTCACTTGGCAAACTGGTGCAGCTGTGCGCGGCTGGGAAGCTGGAGTCATACGGGGTGGAAAAAGGCATGATCGCCAGCGACTGGAGGGAGGCCTCTGCTAACAGGGGACCAGCATTGCGTCGTTATGGTAACGGTTATGATCGTGGCGTCACCCGGCCGCGGTCTTACAACTATGTCGGTGGTAGGCCAAAACTACAGCTGGCGGGACGTACGAAACCAGTTGGGAGCCCTCACCTGCTAGCACCAGGGAAGTCCCAGTGGCGCACCTTTGGTGGCGCCAAACCGGTGGACACAGCAGCGAGAGAGCGCATGATCGAGGAGAGGCGGTCACGACAATAGGCCGGGGAATGGAGGCAGCCGTACAGATTCGTGGTGACGCATCGGGCGGGAAAGGCCAGTGCCAACGCCGACGCTCTGTCCATGGCCTAAGACAATAAGATACTATGCTCTTTGCTCAATAGGACTCTTTAAGGTTACGTGATCACGTATGAACATAGGCGTTTTACGGTTGTTAGAAAATGTTTCTGCATGTCAAGTTGTCGTTTGTACTAATGTTTATGTAGTGCTAATTCATTCATAGAAGTTGTTTAGCCGTTGTCAAAGGTTAAGTAGATGGAACGCCTGGTAGTCAACCTGTTCCTACGGAAGACACAATCATAAAATTTTCATGAATCAAAAATAAATCAGACTTCCTTTTTAACTATGCAAATGACATCCTAACTAGGGATAAGTAAGTCTCTTATTGGTGAATCTTCATTTAGCAATCCATGTATCCTCCTCTGACAAGATAGGCTTTTTAGACTTGGAAGTGGAAGGAGGGCCAGGTACCCTCTTTATTGACTGTCTTTTTGCCTGTTCACTTTGGATAGCAGTTTCATACTTTTGGTCTAGCTCTCTTTTGTATTTTGTCAATGTGTCTGACTGCCAAGGAATGGCCTTGGTCAGAAAGATTTTCTCTCCATTGTCATCAGTATCTGACTCGTCTGATGACATGAACTCCTTCGTCAGTATGCGCTGCAGCTTCAGCTTGAGCTGCTTATTGTATGATTTCTTCGCCTTTAAGGCTTTCAGGCGATGGTCCAGTTTCTGTTGGCCAAAATAATTATAGATCATTTAATACATCACAAAACCTCGACATTATACTCTTGTTGCTTCTCGGAATCGCTACTCCTATTTTTCCATTTTGAAAAAAAATTTCCTGCCTAAGCAACTTCAACGATCCACCTTCCTCCCCCCGCAATTTTAAACTTCTTTTCGTATTTTCATCAGTGACACTCACTGTTATTGGTGGCCTTTGGTACCAATGGTACAGGTTTCCACTTTTATCTCTTCCTTCTTCTATTTAGATAGATTTTACACGCACTGCCAGTGTCCATACAAAAAAATGCCATTCCCAAAATTCAATAAGGCACATACCGTAGCTATCCTTGTGTTCCGGACACACTGCTTGCGGTGCTTGTTGGTCTTGCCCGTTTGTTCCCTCATCTCGCCCCGCCTCTTACTATCGAAGTAAGTGTCGACAGTAGCTGTGTTGCACAAATAGCAAAAATGATGATTTGGGGCTTTCTCATGTTTCAACAAAATTAAATTTCACATTGTTTTAAGGGAACTAGTTGTTTGTCTAATTGATCAGCTAAAATGTGCATTTTTCAAGTAATTAAGCCAGTTCCTTTGTCTTAAAGTACTTACTGTACTGTACAAATCAGAATATACTTCCTAACTTAGCAACTTTCAGGGTCAAAGATATAGGATGGTCACATGAAAACACAGTGTTAATCTGTAGAAAACTAGCTATATAATCTTAAAGTTTCATTGCACCTTTGACGATGTCCATTTTGTCTGCATAGCCAGGCAGGAGTCCCTGAACATATCCCAGGACAGCCTTGGTTGTCTCATTTGGGGCTAAGGTGGCCCTGCAAAAGTTTTCATTGTTTAACTGTTACATGTCACGTATAATGGCATGTTATGTGGGTAGGTAGTGACCCTGCGGCTTTATCTGGTACTGCAATTAAACTTCTGGTGTTGATATCTTGAGTCTGAACATGCTAAGGTCGTGATTTTTGAGCAGGAGGTAGCTCTTGTTTAATACTGTAATCAGGAAGACAACATTTTTTCTTAGGCCTAATGTAGAAGAAGTTACTTTATTTTACTTGTACTGTTTATTCAAGATATTATCAATCTATATACAGATCATACTGTCATCAACCAGAACCCTTGCATCAACCAGAAGTGCAGTCTTCCGCATCCACAGCTACCGGTGAAAAGGATAACGAGGATACCAAAGAAGTTTGTCCTGGGTAGGTATTAGATTTGGCGTCTATCAAATTTG